TCCAAGATTGGCTCTGAGGGAGGGCAGGCCACCCCCCCCACCACTAGGCTCCACCTCTTAAAGGTGCCACCACCTCTTAATAGCTCCACAGTAGGAACCAAGTCACAAGCATGGTAAACCCTCGGGGAGGGGGTGTGGGTATCACAGAGCCCAGAGCGAGGGGAACCCTGGAGACACCGAGCCTCCTACAGGTGTCCTGGCCTTGGAGGTGAACCCCACACAATGCCCTTTATCCTGAATTATTGGGCCTCTAGAGGTGGAAGGCAGGTGAGATTGGGTCAGGCCCACTAGGGCAGGGGAAACGTATTTCCTGTGGGACAAAGAAGGGATTACTTCTATCTGTGGATCGATGCTCTCCTTTCTCCTGCCATGGTGACGGGCATCTACTCCATTAGTCTAGGGTCCCCAGGTACCTCCCTGCAGGCATGAGGCACAGCCAGCCAGAAATCTTTGCCACCTGCTGTGTGGTTCAGCCCCTCCTGATGGATTCCAGGGCTGTCTGTGCGGTCTGCTGACCCGCAGTACCTGGCACAGCAGTTGGCACCTGGGGCTTCCTCGGCCGTGTGCTGAATACCCTGCTTTCTGGGCCATGCGTCTTCCTCTCTCTTGGCTTATTTCTTCCTCTGGGTGAAGGATGCAGGGGAGGGAAAACGCTTTGAGGCCTTGTGTATCTAAAAATACCAGGTGTCCAGCTTGGCTGGGTGAAGGTTAGAAAGCAATCCTGCTTTAGATTTTCCAAGGCCTTGAGCGCTTCCACTTCTGTGGTTGTACAGCCGCACATGGCCATTCTGATTTCACACTTTCTACACGTGACCCATTTCCAACATCTGGCATTTTTGTCTTAGCATTCTAGCCTTGGTGCACAGCTGGTCCCCCAACCCCAGAACGGGGCTTTCTGAAGGTCCTTTCAACATATTATCGTCTATAAAGCCTTTTTCTTGGATGAATTCATTGATGGTTATCTCCCCTCCATTTAAAAAAAGATCTATTTTATTTTTATTTGAAAGGCAGAGTTACAGAGGGAAGGCGAGACAGAGAGATCTTCCATCTGCTGGTTCACTCTCCAAACAGCCACAGCATCTGCAGCTGAGCCTGTCTGAAGCCAGGAGCTTCCTCTGGGTCCCCCATGTGGGTACAGGGGCCCAAGGACACAATCATCCACCAGGACACCCTGTGCCTTGCTGCTTTCTCAGACCATGAGCAGGAGTCAGACTAGAAATGGAACAGTTGGGACATAAAATGGCGCCCATATGGGATGCTGGCACTGCAGGTAGAGCCCAGCCTACAATGCCACTGCATGTTCCCCTTTTCCCGCGTTTTCTGTTCATATTGTTAGAGTACCTGTTTCATCACTGGACTTATGGTTGGTTCTCTAGTTTTTTTTTTTTTTAACTTTTCTCAAATTTCCAAAAGACTTATTTTTATTGCAAAGTCAGACATACAGAGAGGAAGATCTTTCATCTGATGATTCACTCCCCAAGTGACTGCAACGGTCCAAGCTGAGTTGACTCCAAGCCAGGATCCAGGAACTTCTTCCAGGTGTCCCACCTGGCTGCAAGGTCCCATGGCTTTGGGCCATCCTGAAGCAGGGCTGCCGGGATTAGAACCGGCACCCATATGGGGTCCTGGTGTGTTCAAGGCGAGGATTTTAGCTGCTAAGCCACCGTGCAGGGGCCCCATAGATAGTTATCTTTTTCACAAGGGTTTTCTCAACTTTCTCCTCCTTTCCTTCTCTACTAATTTTTTCCTTTGATAATTTTTTTTTTTTTAATTTATGAGAGAGATTGAGACCGTGTTCTCATTTGCTAAGGCACTCTGTTCAGAAAGGCAGATTAACAGAGAGGAAGCTCTTCCATCCTCTGGTTCACTCCCTGCAACTGCCAGAACTGAGCTGACCTGGGGCCAGGTGACCTTCTGGGTTTCCCATGTGGGTGCAGGGTCCCAGCACTTTGGGCTGTTTTCCTCTGCTTTCCCACGAGCTGGATGGGAAGTGGAGCAGCCAGGACAAGAACAGGTGTTCATATGGGATGCTAGTGCTTGCAGGTGGAGGACTGGCCAATTGAGCCATTGTGTTGGCCCTGCTGATTCACTTCTAAATGCCTGTAATCCCTAGATCTGGGCCAGGCCAAAGCTAGCAGCTGGAAACTCGGTCTGGGTTGTCCATATGGGTTCCAGGGACTCAACTACTTAGGGCACCACCTGTTGCTTCCCAGGGTGTGCAGCAGCAGCAAGCTTGGGTTTAACCCAGGCATTCAGAAGTGTGCTGTGGCATCCCAAGCAGTATCACAACTGCTGTGCCCGACACCCACCTTTCTGCTATGTTACTTTAAATCTCTAAGAAACCCATCCCTTTTCCCCACACCCACGTTCTCCATGGGTTGTGGTATCTTTTGGCATTTCTCTAACGAGGTGATCAGAGGCTTGGCTGACACTTCTTTCTACATAGTCTGTTTTCTCCAATCTGCTCTTTGAAAACCTAGGATGGTCTTGTACTCAGGATGCAGGCCTCTCTGAGCTGCCAGGTCAGCTTGGGCTGCCTGCTCAGATTTGTTTGGGAAGGACAGAGGGGCTGGTTGCAAGTTCTGTGCATTTCAGCCTCTCTATGGCCTTTTCTGCACAGTGCAGGCTGACTGGCTGGAAAAAGCCAGGTGCCAAAAGGTTGAGGTGTCTCCCCTTAGCCTGGGCTGCTTCCCCAGGAAGGTGTTTGCCTTGTAACCAACAGTTTTGCAGGCTAGGGGTGGGAAGAGTTAAATAAATGTCTAGTAACCCCCTGTCACCTTCACCCAAAGACCACAGCTCATGGCTCTTCATTCCCCACTTATATCCTGGCCCACCTGCTTTTGTCCTATTCTCCCTGCTCTATTTTTATTCCATTCCTTCCATCTGAAACATGGCATTTCCACTGTAATATACACAAGCCATGTCCTGAAAGTTTTACCTACAAAGGAAAATACAGACCCATAGCTTTGGTGAGTTCTTCTCTGGGGAAAGAAAACTGTGTCTGTCTGTCTGTCTGTCTGTCTGTAAGACATCTTCCTAGGTCTGTGGGAGACAACTTGTTGGGCAATTGCATGACCACCATCAAGTGCTCAGTGAGTGGCTCATTGGGACAACAGACTAATGGGCTCTGTCTCATACCCAGAGAATCCCACAGGCTCAGCAAACACTATCTGAGAGGCCACACTTAAGCAAAGCCTTTGGGTGGGGTGTGGCAACATAGAGACCCCTTGCCCTACTATGCCAATGTCTGACTGGCACACTTCCTGGGAGACCCAGAGCCAGTTCCTTGAATGAAGTGGCTGGGGCTGGTGATGGCATTCCCATAAGGTCACCATGTGGGATGTTCAAGTCCCAGCCGCTCCACTTCAGATCCAGGTCCCTCCACTTGGGCAGTGGAGGACTTGGGCCCGGGGACCAAGTGGGAGATCCGGAAGAAGCTCCAGATATTCAGCTTTGGCTCGCCCAGCCCTGATTTTTGCCATCATTTGGTGAGTGAATCAGTAGGTGGGAGATCTCTACACCTCTGCCTTTCAAATAATCAACAAGCAGTGGCTGACAGTGCCACTTCCTGGGAACAAGAACACTGTGAATCATTATTTGGTCAGGACACAAACCTCTCAAGTGTTAACCTCACAGTCGGCCTGAGACTCGCCCACGAGGGCTCTGACCTAGCTCAGGGGGTAACAGCCCTCTCCAGCCAGAGAGAGGATTGAATTTCTGTTACAGACACCCGAGGCGTGCAAATGTCGGCGCAAGGTTATAAAAGTCCACTGCGATATGCATCCTGGCATGGCTGTCTTTCACCCTGGTTAGCTACAAGGTCAAGTCTACCTGAAGTTCTAATTAACTCGGTGGAGAGCGCGAACGCCACCGCTTTCAGTTCTGGGCTCCGGGTGGTAGCTCCCCTGTGCCACTGCCTCTGGTGAGCCGGGATGGGTCCCTGCCACTCCCTCAGCGGGGCAGTGTGCAGGCCTCGCTGGGGCTGCTACACAGTGTGGGCTGCAGGCCCTGCTCCATCTCTGGGGCTCAGACCGGACAGAGCCCAGGGGCGAGGCGGCGCGGTGCAGCCAGGGAGGCCGCGGGCGGGGCGCTGCCTGCCCAGCCTTTCCTCCGTCAGGCCCAGACAGTGGGTGGGTGGGGTGCGGCGGGCGGAGTCCTCGCAGCTGGTGCCGTCTGAAAGCCGCCCCGACTGCGGCGGGAGAGGGGCAGCCAAGACAAGTTGGCAGCGGGTCTGGGGCGGGGAGATGACTGGGAGGTGGGGGCGGGGGTCCTGAATTCCCGGCACGTAGCCCCAACCTGCAAGTACAAGAGCAGGACACTCGGGTCGCCCCGCAGCCAGGAACCCCGAGTGCTGCGGCGAGCGACTCAGCGGGCGCAGCGCCCAGAACAGCCCGCGTGCGGCCCGCCCCCTCATCGCCAAGACAAAGGGGCGCCCGCCCGCCCGCGGGGCATCCACCGAGCTCCCGCCGCACAAAAGCTCAGGCGGCCAAGTGCCCGCCGGAGTTCCCGCGACCGGGGGTAGTCGGGGAGCGGCCCCGAGTGGGCGCACCCGACCCGCCGCCCTAGGACGTCGTGCGTCAGCGCGCCTCGCTTCCGTCCCACCTCCCGCAGACAAGGGGGCACGCCTATTGGCGCGCGCAGGCCCCGCGGCGGGGGAACGCCCCTCCGGCGTCCCAGATTGGCCCGGCCGAGTACTCACGGACCAATGGCGTCCTCGCCTGGCCCCGGCCACGCCCCTCCACAGGCGCGGGCGCGCGGCCGCTCCGAGCCGCCGGAGCGCGCTCCGGGATCCCCGCCCCCTGGGCGCGCTGCTCCCCGCGGCCGCCGCCGCCGCCGCCGCCCGTAACCTGCGCCGCCAGGATGTGGCTGGGGGCTGACGTCGGGTCCAGATGTGGCCCCGGCCCCGCCCCCCCCGGGCCCGGGGCCGCCCACTCCGAGCCGCGGCGCGCACGGCGGCTGTCCCGCCTGCCACAATGCGCGGCGAGGCTGCGGCCGCGACTTGACGCGGGCGTCCCCAACGTCGCCGCTCGGCATCCTTAGCGCAGGCCGCCCCTGACGCCGCGCGCGGAGCCTCCCCCTCCCCACCCCCGCCGCTTCCCCGCCCCTCGCCCGCGCCCTCCCATGCGCTCACGCCTCGGTGCCCCGGCCGGGCGGACGCGGAGCCGCGCGGGTGACGGCAGAGGCGGCTGCGCGCCCTGCCTCGCCGAGCCTTAGCCCAGCCCAGCCCGAGGAGAGGGCGCGCCGCGCCCCCGCCCCCAGCCCGCTCTCCGGAGGCCGTGGGTGCGGATGCGCCGCTGACGACGCCTCGCAGCCGCCAGCACTCTGCCCGCCCGGCCGGAGCCCGCAGCATGGCAGCCGCCGCCTATGTGGACCACTTCGCCGCCGAGTGCCTCGTGTCCATGTCCAGCCGCGCGGTCGTGCACGGGCCGCGAGAGGTGCCGGAGCCCCGGCCCGAGGGCGCGGCCGCAGCCGCCGCCGCCGCCCCCACGCTGCCCCGCGTCGAGGAGCGCCGCGACGGCAAGGACAGCGCCTCGCTCTTCGTGGTGGCGCGGATCCTAGCGGACCTCAACCAGCAGGCGCCGGCGCCCGTCCCGGCGGAGCGCAGAGAGGGCGCCGCGGCCCGAAAGGCCAGGACCCCCTGCCGCCTGCCGGCCGCGCCGCCGCCGCCGCCGCCCCCGCCGAACGCCCCCGAGCCCGCCTTCCCTGGCGGCGAAGGCGCGGCGGCGGCGGGAGCGGGAGCGGCCGCGCCCCCCAGCCCCGCGTGGAGCGAGCCCGAGCGGGAGCCGGGGCCCGCGGGGAGCGGCGAGCCCGGCCTCAGACAAAGGGGCCGGCGGGGCCGGAGCCGCTCCGACCTCGAGTCCCCGCAGAGGAAGCACAAGTGCCACTACGCGGGCTGTGAGAAAGTTTATGGGAAATCGTCGCACCTCAAGGCGCACCTGAGAACTCACACAGGTCAGTGGGCGGCACGGACCCCCGAGCGCGCGGACCGGGGCCGGCGCGGCCGCCACGCCACGCCCCCCGGCCCGAGAGGCCGCCGACCCGGCGCGGACATCAGGGCCGGGCGGCGATCGGGGGCCCTCGCCGCTCTGCCCCCGGTCGCCCGGTGGCCGGGTTCGCGCCGCGTGAGGCGGCCCCGGCCCCTTGGAGCCGGCGCCCGCCCGGCGACCGCGCCCCCGCCGGGCACGCCCCCCTCCCCGGCGCTGGGCGGGGCCGCGGGGGTGGATGGCGTCATCGGGGCCGGGGCGGGGGGCGGCGCGGGCAGGTGCGCGCGCGCGCGGCGCGGGAGGGGTGCGGGCGCCGCCGGGGCGGGGGCGGCCCGTGCGCGGGGGTTTGGGGTTGTTTGTGTGTGTGCGTGTGTGTTGCGGTGGGAGGCTCTCTGCCGGAGTCTCTCCCGCCCCGCTCTGCCGGCCGGGCGCGCGCTCGGGGGTGGCGGGGGAAGCTCGAGGCGGGCGAAGTTCACGCGGGGACAGGGCTCTCCCTTCGGCCACTCGGCACATTCTTCCCCCTGCTTCGTCCTGTAATTTTTCCAGCGCTCTAAGGTTTAATTTGTCGTAACCAGAGCCAGCGGCCGCGCTGGCCGGCGCGGGGGGCGGTCCCGGGTCCCCGTTCCCCGCCTGCGGCTCTTTGTGGGGAGCCCCCGCCCATCCGGCCGGAGGGGCCGCGCCCGTCCGGAGGGGCTTGGCGGAGGGGCGGCGCTTTCTCCCGGGGCGGAGTGGGGGCCGCGTGCCGACCCGGTCTTACCTGCCTCGAGACCGGATGCGGGCACCTGCCCGAGGCTGGCTGCCTGAGTCTGGCCCCGGTGCGGGCGCGTCCCTGCACAGATCTGATACTTCGTAGCTGATTGTCTCTGGTTCCCCCCCCCCACCCCGCCTCCTTTTCGTTGCTTTTAACGCGAAAATGCAAACACTGAGCGAGCGGCAACTCTTCATCCATGTCCATACTGATTTAAAGAAGCGTTTCCTTTGCGCACCCTTGAGGTTCCCGGTGACAAGGAACTCCACCACCTCTCGGGCACGTTCCAAACTTCAGCCCTTCAGACCGTTACTTTGTTTCCAAGGGTGGTGCCTTCTTGTCCGTAAGATAGTTCTCAGGCTGACTGAAAGGCACAAAACCCAGCTGCAGCCTCCGGGACCGAGGGCCGTGGGTTCCTACCCCTGGAGCTGCGCAGGTGCGGAGTCCGGCGGATCTGGCAGCAGCCGGTCTCCGCGGCCGTCCCAGCCACGTGGCAGGTGCAGGCGTTGAGGGTAAACCGGGCCAGTTTTGGGCGTTAAGGGTGAGAGGTGGGCCAAGTTGAGCCTGGGTTTGGGGTTAGGGTTCAGCTGGGGTCAGCGGCCGCCGGGGTGGGTGTGGCTGTGGGGGAGGTGCCACGCTAAGTTCAGGTCCTGGTGGGCCGGGAGGGGCAGCTTTTGGGGCGTGGCTGGAGGGGGAAGGGGAGATCCGCGCGGGGGCGGCCATGCTCGTGCTGGGCGGGGGACGTTGGAGATTGGGAGGTGTTGCTGCTGGCTGTCTCCTGGTGGCTGTAGGATAGTAGCCGGCACCGCGAGGCACCGCGAACGGTGGAGGGGCCTGCCGTCGTGGGCGGGGCCTCCGCCCCAGGGTATTTTCCTGGCACTCAGCTCCACTGGCTGGAGAATGAGGTCAAGGTTGGGCTCGTGGTGGGGGACAGGACCTACTCCTGAGTGCTTGCAGGCACCTAGGCCTTTAGGTGGGGGTGTGGCTGCCAGGGGAGAATGTAGATTTCTAGGCCGTGGTGCAGCCTGCGTCTGGGAGCGGCCATCTGGTGCCCCAGGTGAATCTGGTCCCAGAGATGGTCATCCCACACACCTGTTCTGGAGGGAGTCTGGCTCAGCCTGATGCAGGACACCTCCGAAGCCCATTCCAGCCCTTACTCGGGTGTTTATCCGGGAAGAAGCCAGCAGTCCACTGTAGGAGATACCTGCCAGCCTGGCCCCCGGGGCATGCCTGGGGGGCGGGGCAGATCCTGGCCTTAAAGAGGCCACCCGTACCAACTGAGGGCTGGGAGTCTACAGGTAATGGGTGCCCCTCCCGCTCCAGGGCCCGTTGTAGTTTCATTACAAGGGTGAACACCAAAATCATAGAAGCTCTGTGACCAAGGAGGGGTTTCCATTGGTCCGTGCAGCTTGGTGGTGGCTGGGATGACCCAGAGGACGTGGGGGGGGGGGAGTGAGTGGTGGTGGTGTGTTTATAAGGGTTCAGTCTTTCTCCTGGAGTTCTGCTTTGCTGTCCTACTGCCCCCTCCCTCAACAGCTGATTGCCAAAGAGCTGCCCTCCTAGCTGGCTTGGGGGCCCTGTACCCTGTGAGCTTTCCCTTAGTGGTTATTCTGTGGGTGGAGGACCTCTCAGAGCAGGAACTGTTGATGTAACAAGTGCAGGGTGCGGGGCAAAAAGGAAACAAAGCAGCAAAGGTCTTGTCTGCTCAGGTCACTCACTGGCTGTGTGACTCCCAGCTCCGACCTGGGAAGGTTGTTAGGGCCTAAGCCTTGGAGGGTAGCAGGATTGGAGTCGATTTTTTGGGAGGTGGAGGCACTTGACCACTTTGCCATGGGAATGCCAGGATTTGCTGAAGGCCAGGCCCAGCCCGGGCTGTATTGAGGGCAGACAGCCATGTTCTGAATCTGAAGATTTCAGCCAGTGGAGGAGATGGCTGGGGGTGGGGGGCAAGTGCCCTATATCCGTTCAGAAGGCGGTGGGGGAGGGGAGAGGATGCCGCAGGAAGATAGGTGCCTTGGCCCTGTAGGGTGGCAGCCAGGAGAGTGAAATCAGATCACCTTCTCCTAGCCATTTCCTGGGGCAGTTTGGGCAGGCCTAGCCTAGAGGCAGGGATCCAGTCCTGAGTGACGTGGTTGGGCAGAGTGTTAAGGAGCCCGCCTCCAGCACACTGGCTAGCTGTGGAACGTCTTCCTGTCGCGGCTGGCTGATGGCACAGGTGCTCACCTTAGGGGCCTCAGAAAGGCAGCTGGTCATGGCAGAGGGGGACTGAGTGGAATCGCCTTTCCCAGGGCAAAGCCAGGCTGGATAATGGCCAGGGCTTTGTCCAGGGACACGCCCAGGCCAATGGCTCTTGGGCCTGCACCCCCACAGTCCCGCTCTGGATATAGGCCCAGTTGTGAAACTCTGGAAACAATGCAGAAGTGTGTGGCGGGAAGACGCCAGCCTCCTGCCCCTAGCCCTCCACTCCCTTCCCAGCTGAGCGCGGGACACTGTGTGCCGGCTCACCCACGTCTGCAAACGTCGGGGCCGGCCTGTGCATCTGTGCGCATCCGCACACATGCAGGGTAGGAGCCTGGCAGATCTGTTCTGCCTTAGGCTTCTGTTGTGTGTCTGCTTGTAGGAGGCATCTTCATGGTTTTCCATGGCTTAGGGCCGTTCCAAGGCGTGGTTATTATGGCTGTACTTATTTCACCCCTCACCTCTTCACTTGTTGGAAGGACAATAGTGTTACTGTGCTTTTAGTTAGCTGTTGTGTGCTGTGCAACAATAGGCTCGTGTGAGTGTGTGTGTGTGTGTGCGCGCGCGCGCGGCCATGCCTAGAGGAGCTGGTGCCTCAGGGTTTTGACCTAGTGGAGCAACTGGTAGTGTGGGCGAATGTTGATTTATTCTGACCTAAAGGTACCATATTGACTTAAAAGGCATCTTTTGAAATCAAATAGGCTGTGACTCTTCATCTCCCCTGTGCAGGGGAGAGACCTGTGTGCCACTGTTTAACCTTTGGGTGGGGGGATGTGGGAGGGAAGGTTTTTCCTTTCCCAGTTCTTGTTTCACTGGTGAGAGTGTTGCAAGCAGGGTCCATGTTGAAAATATTTTAAACATCAACAAAACTTCTCAGGCGCATGCCTTGGGGCCTGCTTGAAGGTTGTCCAGGGCCCGCCCCCATTGGAGTGCTTGGTGGGCACTGCAGCTGTTGGGTGTGGTCCCTGGGCACTTGGGCACTGTGGGGTTAAGGGATCTGGTGTGTGGCTGTCTCTGCTGCCCTCTCTGGCTGAAAGGGGGGAGACTGCCCACCTGAGTAGCTGATAGAGCTACAGCTTGCTTAAGCAGAGGCCCCAAGGCTGGGAACACAGGAGAGGCAGGACCCAGGCCTGTGGAGTCAGGCCATGAAGCTGTGGCACCGAAATGGGCTGGTGACAGCCCTGGGGCCTTTTAGTCCTGTTCTTTTTAATTTAAAGATTTGCTTATTTGAAAGTCAGATCTTTTTTTTTTTTAAAGATTTCTTTATTTTTATTGGAAAGTCAGATATACAGAGAGGAGGAAAGACAGAGAGGAAGGTCTTCTGTCCACTGATTGACTGCCCTAGTGGTTGCAATGGCCGGAGCTGCGCTGAATTGAAGCCAGGAACCCAGAGCCTCTTTCAGGTCTCCCACATGGGTGCAGGGTCCCAAGGCTTTGGACCATCCATGACTGTTTTCCCAGGCCATGAGTAGGGAGCTGGATGGGAAGTAGAGCTGCTAGGACCAGAACCGGTACCCATATGGGATCCTGGTGCATGTAAGGCAAAGACTTTAGTTGCTAGGCTACTGTGCTGGGCCCCAGAGTTAGATCTTATATCCACTGGTCCATTTCTCAAGTGTTCACAATAGTCAGGGCAGATCGGGTCTGCCATGTGGGTAGTACTTGGACCATCTTCCACTGATTTCCCCAGGCCGTTAGCGGGAGCTGGATCAGAAGTGGAGCAGCCTGTACACGAACTGCCACCTTTATGGGATGGCAATGTTGCAGGTGTTGGCTTTACCCACTGTGCCACAGCGTGGGCCTACTTTACGTCCTGTTTACTGTCACTGGACACAAAGCTTTACTGCAGTTGGTTGGTGGAAGAGTGAAACTAAAGACAAAAGTGAGGACAAAGCAGTGTATGGCTGCTCTGCTTCTAGGCCAGCTCCCTGCTTGTGAACTGGGAAAGCAGAAGAAGATGGGCCAAGTGCTTGGTGCCCTGA